CAGAAAGCATGCTATTTAACCAGAGAAGTAATCTCGTTTTGGTGAATGACTTTGAGGAAGATGTAAATTATGCAGTTAAGAAGCGGACTGCCTCATTCACATATAGCTAAAGAAATATCTAAATGAAAAATAATATTAACCCATATATAATACTGTCGTAAAGAAATTATTTATCATAATTATGTTAAGACATAAAAATGCGAATGCCGCTATCATTCTGAGAAGAGCCACAGTGACGTGGTCAAAGAGCTGTATGTGGCTCGCGAGCCGCAGGTTGCAGACTCCTGCCCTAGGTTGTCCGACATGTTGGATTTTCGGCGCACAAAGTGGGCATGTCGGAATGTATGCAAACGCACAGCGTTGCACATTTTTAATGTAGCGTCGTGCTCCCTGACCATCGCGTGAATCAACCCAGGGCGTGAATTACAGAGTGGCTGACAGGGGAGACCTTTTATTTCAGGGACCTTACTGGAAATAAGATGTAAGCTACAACAAATGTGAACAAATTTCAAGAGAGCTCCCCTGTAATTCAAGCCATGGCCTTCAAACTACGGTACTTGATAAAATATTGTTAGCACTAGTATTCTTTTTAAAAAATGGTTTGTGTGTTATGCAAGAATGTCAGCGGAGGAACTCTGCCAAAACTTTGCAGGAATGAACCAAGAGCTGGCTCATGAACTGTATGGTAATGTTAAATTGATAGCTCCTATCAGTTTTGTGTTTATGGTAAATATGCTAAATTTGGTGATGCAGTCTTCTCAGTTGCCCCTTTGTCCGCCTTACTTACTGTTGCTTTGCCTGCTATATGCTCACTCTGCGTGCCTTAATTATATTATGGTGTTTTATTATTAATTTATTCATGATCATTGTTATTTTTTCAATCTCTGTGTGGCCATAATGTTTTGGGTCTTATAGTTACAATCATGTGGATTAATCTATTTTCTCTGTGTTTTACCATGAAGAACAAGGCGTGACAGGGGATGATTTTGTGGATATTGGGGAGCAAGATGTTTACATTTT